TCTCTTTGGGATAAGCCCTTCTCTGCCTTGAGATTCTCCTGAAAATCAACATCCTTCAGATTCTTAGAAGCCCTATTGTTTGAGCGAGAGAATCTGTGAGGCAACCTTAAAAATTTGAGTAGAACTTTTGTCTGACTGAATGGTACTCAGAAGCATCACCGCCAGTCTTTCTGAGGTCTTAACAACGGATTTAACAATTACATCCTTGGGTTCACCTTCAGATCATGTTTTCCTGGAAATGTCCTTTTCTGTGTCCTTTTGGATTTAATCTTTGCTACAAATCATTTCTTAAGTTAAACATCATTTGTCATCTAAAAGGCTAGGAATTTTCAAAACCATAAAGTCCTGGTTCCTTTTTGTTTAACTGTCCTTATTTCAGCTTATCTATGTCCTCTTGCATTTTACTATAAGCAGCAAGAAGCAAGCAGTATCTTTAGTACCGTCAACACTCTGTATAAAAATCTCCTTAGTTTCATCACCCAGTTCATTTCGTACCCTCTCTACTTCCCACCTTACTTCAGGTGACAGTATGGCTACACTTCCTGCTATTACATAACAAGGAGACCATTTCTTTCAATTTCCAAAGTGTTTACTTCATTTTCCTGCAAGCCTTTACTCACCAGCTCCTCAAAGTGCATGAGGCTTCTGCTAACAGTTTCTTCAAAGCTCTTCAAGTTTTCAGTAACACTGTCCTCAAAGTTCCTCTAGCTTCAACCCACTACCCAGTCCTCCTGCTCCCTTCCACATTTCCGGTTCTTGTCATAGCTGCATCCCACTTCCAGGCATTAAAATCTATATTGTTCTTCTATCGCTGCATAACAAATAATCCCTAAACTTAATGGCTTAACACAAGAATCATTAGAGTCAGGAATTCAGAAGCAACTTAGTTGGGTGGTTGTGGCTCAGGATCTCTCATGTCAGGATGTCGGTTGGGCTTCCAGTCTCATCTGAAGTTTTCATGGGGCTGGAAGTTCCACTTCCAAGATGGCTCATTCACATGACTGTTTGCAGAAGACTCCCATTCCTTTCCTTGTGGGTCTTTCCATAGGTAGGATGGGTGTCCTCACAACATAACAGCTGGTCTCTCCCAGAGCAAATGATCCAAGTGAGAACAAGGAGGAAGCCACATTGTCTTTTGTGATTTAGTCTCAGAAATCACATGTCATTACTTCTTCCACATTCTGCTGCTAATAATCAAGTCTAGATATAGCCCATGCTCAGGGGGAAAGGAGTTACACACCACATTTTGAAGAGAGGAGCATCAAATAATTTGTGAACATTTTTAAAATAAACACAGACCCCCCTCAAATCAGGGACTCTCTAAAGGACTTTCTAAAGAATTTCATGTCTTGCAGCTGTTGAACTGAGAGAGAAAGAGGGGGGAAATTGGACCCTTTTAATTTGCTGACTTAAAATATCATTTGAATCCACAGCTTTGCCAGATCTCTTTGGTGAAGATAGAGCATTCCTTGGGAAAGAGTGTGACCCTGAGTGCTAAAATGTGAACACATGGAAAGATTCAGATGGCTTCTAGTTCCCTGAGCTCCCAAACCTGTGAAAATACACTATTCAGATCTCCTGCTGCATGGAGTATGACTGACTGACACTCAGCAGCTGCCTACCCTTGCACCGAGGCCATGCTCCCGGGCTGCTCCCAATGAGGGAGCACGTGAAGTACCAAGGCAGGCCAGTTTTGGCAAGATGTGAGAATCCACCTTTGGCAACTTTGCCTTGAAGACTCCCCATTGGCCTGGACACACCTTTATTTGAATCGTGCTGCAGCTCAAGATTCTTCTTCCCCCAATCCTCCTGCCTTCCCTTTCTCCTGCCACTGGCATTACACATGAATCATAATCTAAAGCCTCTCCCTATGTTCTCCTGATCCCTCTCCCCGCTTGAAATCTCTTGAACTTCTAATCCCATTGTATCATCTGCTCCTTGGCAGACCCAAACTAATGCAGCCTTCCTCGTCAGACAAATTCTCCCCATCCCCTGTGTGTGAGGCTTTTCTCATCCTGCACAAAGACTCTGTAATGACCTTAGTGGACATAATCTGTCAGGAGGTTGGGGTAGCCAATTCTCTTCATTCTTCACCCCTAACATCTTTCCTAGCCTTGAATCATGCCATCAGTAATGTGCTAGAGACAGTCTGTACCAGATCACAAAAGTCAATTGAGAAATTTTCAGGAATTTCGTGAGCTGGTTGGTAAACACAGTAATTATTAAAACTTAAATGTACTTATAAATAAATTACATTAACAACAAAGGTAATAAAAACTCAAAAACATCACTCTCTAGTTATTAACAATATTTTATTAGTATCTATGCTCTTGAAGTTACTTACATCTCTTATATCTGGGTGTTGGAAATAATATATAATGGTGTGCTACCTGCACTTCTCTTTGGAGTTTGAAGGCCAGATTTAGATGTGCTGTTTCAGCTCATTTCTTCAGTCAGCTGAGAGGTGACAGCTTTGAGGGCAGCCTGAAGCAAGAGAAGGCTTGTAGCCGGTCCAGGAAGCTCTGCCCTCTGATCCAATGAATCCAGTGTACTTGAAACACCTGTGGCAGATTGGGCTGCTGCATGGAGCTTTGGCACGTCCAGGAAGGCAAAGCAGAGCACAGGCCCCCAGGGTTTTGCAGCCCAGCCGTGAACTCTGTGGCATATAACTGTTCTCCTTTTGAGAGGCCAATCTTGGTTTGTTGCTTGGCACCAATAAATACAGCAGCCTGATCATGAGGCATTAGGTAACCAAGCGACTGATGCCCATTGTAAACTCAGGGTCATCTGATCCACCAAGCCATAAAGTCAGCTAACATTTAGTGTGTCTGAACAGTGTGCCAGGCACTGTTCCATGCACTTTACTTGTAACATTTTTCATCTTCACCACAATTCTGGGAGGCAGTTCTGTTATTATTGCTATTATCCCTACTTCAGCTGAGAAAACTGATACAGAGAGAGGATAAGTGATTTGCCACCTAGTCATATAGCTCATAAGTAGCAGAGCTTGGTTTGAACCCAGACCCTCTGGCCCCAAAGTCCACATGTTCAATTACCAAATTATATGGCTTCTTGTGATCGAGTGGAAGTCCTCTGTATAGGATTGGGCTTGAGCAGAAATTGAAGACACAACAGATTGCATGGTGTGCTCAGTCCTCGCATACTGCTGCTTTTCCTCCACCTACACATCTGACCCAGGGATGCTCGCGAAGTCCAGAGGACTGAACAGACAACCTGCACAAGATGATGGCAGTGCCACAAGTGGATGCCACAACACTCTAGTCCAACTCAAGGCTGGCCCTGAAGAACAGCTGAGGAGAATTTTCCAGTAGGCAGAATTTTTAACATTTCATCCTGTTGACCACTTTGTCTGAAAGGAGACATGGCCTGAGGTGCATATGTCACCTGTACTGGACAGTAACTGATGGTTTAGCTGGGTAGCCAGACTGGGAAGGTCACCAATGCAAGGCTGATGGTAACAAAGATGTCTGGGGAAGAGGCATTCAGGGGATCTCTCAGAACGGATCCTCTAGTGTATGAAGATATGTGGTTCTTCATGAATACCTGCCGAAGGTCTCCACTGTAGAGGAAGCGCTCAATAATCACATAAAAAGGCTAACCTAGCCTTAGCATGTCAGCCTACATCTTTCCCCAGGCACTCCAACGTGCCTAGTGATCTCATGAACAAAGTGGGCATGTGCGATGCGTTGAAAACATCGAGGAATTCTGAGAAAAGTGGTTTTACTGGAATAGCTACTTTTTCTGGATTTGGATTTGTGTTCCTGTTTAACAAACCTCTGGCCACACCAAGATTCATAGATTTACTGAATGCTTATTCACCACCATGGTATTCCACCCCACACTGGCTTTCACTAAGTAAGTAATTTTACAGGAATGGGCTGACAGACACTATTGGGTTCATGCTTCTATCATGTACTCCATCACCACAGAGGGCATGGCAAAGACTCGTTTCCAGCACAATTGCTATGTAGTCAGTCCAGCAGATTACTGAGATGAAATTGTGACAGACCCAGAGGATGAAAGTTCATCACCCAGAGATTTTGTATTTGAAGACAGATGCAGTCACTCACAAAACTTTGGGACTCAGTATTCTTTTAATAAATTCCCTTTTTGATTAAATTTTACAGAGTGGGTTTCATAGAGAAAGATCTAGAAGGATGTATTCCAGTGAGTGAAGAGTGGTTATTTCTGATTCTGTAGGAATTAGTCACAATTTCTATATTCTGTTAGTTTATATTTTCTGATTTTCCTAACATGAGCATTAACCTTTTTAACAAGAAATAATTTTTGGAAAATTAATTTAAAAATATATATCATCTTGAATTTCCATTAAACTTTATGACTTATGACCTTATCTTTAGGTATACATTTATTATCAAGACTAACATGCCTAAAAAGGGAAAAAACTTGAGTAAGCTTTATTCAAAGTTAAAGAAAATAATATTCTAAAGAAAGAATAAAGGTGGTGTTCACTCAAGACCAGGGAAAATAATACTATGGGAAAATGCAATAGGGTAATTCTGCCTTTTTTTTTTTTAAAGATTTTATTTTTAAGTAATCTCTATACCCAACGTGGGGCTCAAACATGCAACTCTGAGATCAAGAGTCCCATGCTCCACCGAAAGAGTCAGGTGCCCCAGAGTAATTCTGCTTTTATTTATGGTTTTATTTATTTTTTACAAAAAGTTGATATAACTATGTAATATTGACAATGCTACAAAAGTGTGAGAAGACTATGTGTGACTATTGATCTCACCACTGATAGGATATATAAGATATTGATTAACAGAAGCAGACAGCCATTGTGAAATGTTTTTAAGTATTAAGTATGAACTTTATGGATGTTGCCAAGTCAAAGTTGTATATTCATGAGACACTCATAAGTTTTATTTAAGGTTTAAAATGAGACAGAGAAATAGCCAAGTGTGTAGTAAATACAATTGGTCTAATCATCTTCCCAAGATTCTTCTATGCTTGAGTTATTTTACAGAAGTCTTATTACACTCACATTTATGTTCCTTCCTGATATACATCTTCTCAAGGAACTTTAAAAAAAAAAGTAAACCTTCATTAGATTGGCAAACAAATATTATACAGTCCTTCCCACAATCACTACCATACCCAAATTCACAATTTCACACTCTGACATATATCCTTCTAGTACTCAAAATCCCGTGTTGACAATTGGCCATGATAAATGTGGGACTTTGGAAGCTGTTTGTACAGCATCAGAAATACCTGAATCTAATTCCCATTTGTTCTGTGCCCAAGTCCAGCCCAGCTCAGCTCAGCAAAGCCTCGTGCTGCTCATCCCTTCTATTAAAAACCTGGGACCCATCTGTGTAGCAGACAGAATGAAGCTGACGGTAATGAATAGAGTAGATAGTCCAGCAGCAGATACTGGAATGTGTATAAAGTACCTGTGCTCATGTAACATATATGAATGTGTATGTACAGTGTACACAGACCTCACATGAATAAAAAGAGAATGAATGTTTATATGTGTGTGTGTGTGTATATACACATATACACATATATATTTAAATAATGACATATTGAAAACATACAATATATATATTAAATACATTTCCTCCTCTCTTAGTTGAAATGTTATTGATAAAATAGAGGATATAGGATGTAAGAATAAAGGAAGAAAATATATTCCAGGGTTTTGAATGACAGGTGTTCTCAGAGGACTCAGCTGTAGTCAGGGGCATTATCTCTCTCTAGTTAATGCAGCCAAAAGAGTGTAGCCCGTGTGTCAGGCATGCTTCTCTTTGCCCAAAATCGAACTAAATGTTCATGAACAAAATGGATTAAACCAACAAGGAACAAATCAAAATTTTTTAAAAAAGTGTTCTGCCACTAAAAAAAGGTTAAGACAGAACTGAATTATTATAACAGCAAACAAGGAGATATATATATATCTCCTATATATATGGTCCTTGGCAAGAGGAATATATATATACATTTATATATATACACATATATCACATAATTATATTTATGCTCAAGTATATTTACATATGTTGTAAAATATATAATATGTGCAATTAGGTAATTAGATAAAATATAATAAACATAGGGGTGCCTGGGTGGCTCAGTCAGTGAGTATCCAACTCATTTTCAGCTCAGGTCATGATCTCGGGGTCGTGAGATGGAGCCCCGTATCAGTGGGAGTCTGCTTGGGATTCTCTTCCTCTCCCTCTCCCTCTGCCATTCATGGAAAAGAAGAAATCCAGTATTGCATTTCCTGAACTTCATGTTGGCTGCACGGCTTCCTAAAGACATATGGGATGTGCACACAGAGGACACTGGATAAATGCATGCCTTAATAGCTACAACTTTGGCAGCCTGGCTAGCTGGTTTCTTGCTGTGGTGACAGGGCTGGTCTGGGCACAGAACTCTAGGCTCTGAGGTCCTCCTGCTAAAAATGGTCTGCTCTGCCAGCCTCCCACCCCACCCATGTGGCACATGGCCTTCCAAGCATGGCCACTCCATGTGGGAAGCAGCTGGGGCTAGCTTTACAAGTTAAGAGAGGGGAAACTACATGGAGGTAAGAAAAAGTGGGGAAAACACAGAAGATACTGGTGGGCCCCTGGGAAGTGAACTTTTGCCCTGTTCTGTTTCCACACAAGGCTGACCCCATAGTACAACACTATTGTGAATCTCAATTCCATTTTGTCCTGACCCAAGCCGTAGCTCTTTGTCCTTAGATGTGGAAGTAAAAGACACTCAAAGACTTTCTAGAGACTTCAGAGTGTTCGAGTGACAGAGTTTGCAAGGTACATGCCCTGCACATAGACCCCTTTCACTTTGGTCCCATTAAGGCAAAATTCAAGGCAGGTTAAGTGAATAGGAAGACAGCACCTCTGACAGCAGAAACCAAATAGGCAGAATAAAAAAAGCAAAAGCCAAATCCTATCTCTGGGCCTTTGTCTGGGGAAAAGCATGCCCTTTCTTGCAGGGGCCTGAGTCCTGGTATGAGAAGTACAGTTGACCCTTGAACAATATACTACAGGGGTTAGGGGCACCAGCCCCCCCCAACTGAAAATCCATGTATAAGTTTGACTCCCCAAAAACTTTACTAATAATCTATACTGTTGACCAGAAGCCTTACTGATAACATAAACAGTTGATTAACATGTATTTTGTATGTTATATATGTTATATACCATCTTCTTACATTAATGTAAGCTAGAGAAAAATGTTATTAGGAAAATCATAAGAGAAAATACATTTATAGTATTGTACTGTATTTATCCAAAAAAAAAATTTTTTTTTTCACATGTAAGTGGACCTGCACAGTTTAAGCCAGTGGTGTTCAAGAGTCAACTGTATTTTGCTTTTGTTAGGGCACTGACCCTGTCCCATCAACACCTGTGAGCCCCTCAGCCAGTCTTTCTGAAAGGACCCTTTACTCACACTTGGCATCCTGTAGCCTCTGCTTAGAATGAAATCCTTAAAGGCAGTGGTTCCATGAAGGTCTGCAAGTAACTCCTCCTAAAAGAGGATCCACATTAAAACAAAAACAAAGACAAAAAAAGACCCAGTCAGCTGTTAGAAGTTTGATTCCATACTTGTCCTAATAAAAGCAGTCAGTTCTTTAGAAAGTACATTTTAAATCACTTCCTTCTCATCTGGGAGTATATGTGTAGATAACGTTCACGAGCTGATGAGTATAAAAGACTTTCAAAAGATGTCCAACTTTCTCTCCTTTCCCAACCCTTTTTTTTAACCCTTGTATTAAGGAGAAGCAACACTTTTTAGCAATTAGACAATTATTAAGCCCAGATGTCTGGAATCTAACCTATTTGAGATTAACAAGTATGATACTGTGATTTTTAATAAGACATATATATTTGGTCTTATTCCCATTCCTGACACAGATCTCCTAAAACCATTGCAATTCCCTAAGTGATAAGAGCCACAAAGGCAAAAGGAGAATTTTTTGTTATTCATAACTAGCCCCTTTTAACCACAACAGAGATTAACAACGTGATTTTTGGAAAGCCCTTAGAGAGCCACAGGATGGGGTCTGGTTGCCTGAGGAAACAACCACGTGAGGAGAGGGTTGGAACTTTCAACTCCATCCTGCAATCTCTGGCTGAATTAATCGCAGATGACCAATGATGTAATCAGCCGTGCCTACGTATTAAAGCTGCCATAAAAGCCCAAAAGGACAGGGTTCAGAGAGCTTCCAGGTTGGTGAATATGTGGAGGTTTTGGGAAGGTGGTGTGCTCAGCGAGGGCACAGAAGCTCTGCACCCTTTTTCATATACCTTGCTCTGTGCATCTGGCTATTCCTGAGTTCTCTCCTTTTATAATAAACCCACAATCTCATAAGTAAGCTGTTTTCCTGCGTTCTTCATGCAGATGACAGAACCCGAGGAGAAGGTGTGGGGACCTCCTGGTCAGAAGCACAGGTGAGAACCTGATTTGCGATCAGCATCGGAAGTGGGGGCAGGGTTGTGAGACTGAGCCCTTACCCTGTCAGGTCTGATGCCAACTCCAGGTAGATAGTGGCAGACTTGAGTTAAATTGTAGTAGGACACCCAGCTGGTGTCTGGAGAATCAGACAATTGCTTGGTGTGGGGGAAAAAATCCTGACACATTTGGTGACCAGAATTGAGACTAATAGAGCGAGAAACAGGAGCGTTTTTTTCACTTGACAATATATCCATAATTTTGAGATCTGTTAAAAAGGAACAGCAGGCCCAAAATGGAGTCAATTCTGTTAAGCCCCACCAAGATTTAATACCTAACCTGTCGGTTCAGCCTGTCGCAGGAGTGGGATTTTAAACCAGTCCGTGTGGAGTTTCCTGATGAGCATTAGCGAGGTGCTCTGCATAAGAACCACAGCCTTTCCCTCTAAGGAAGGTGATCTTGCCTACAACAAGCCTGTCTTTCTTTTGCTAATAACTTCCTTATCCCACCCCATTTCTGCCTATAAAAGCCTTCCATTTTATAAAAGTCCTTGGGACGCCTTTCTATTTGTTAGATGAACTGCTGCCAATTCAAGAATCATTGAATAAAGGCAATCAGATCTTCAGATTTACTTGGTTGAATTGTTGTTCTTTAACAGATTGGGTGGCAGCAGTGGGACCCAAGGAGACTTCCAGTGACTTTGGGGACAATAAGAAACAGGTGTGGTGCCTGAGGACACTCTGAGTTCTCTTTCTTGCTGCTTCTGAGGACCACTGGGAACTTCCTCTTAGTTCTGAGCTCCACACTGTGCTTCAAGCTCCTGATCGGATTGGCTCTCCACAGTCCCCCAGCCCATCGGAAACCCAAGCCCTTGGTTCGATCACCAGATCCGTGTTGGCGGCTCTACCTCCCCATTCGTTTGGGATCAGTCCATACCCCCCATTCTTTGGGGTCTGCTGGTTCAATCCTTTTTCTAATCTCTAGATTCCACACAGGGAACTGCTGGTTACTGGGTCCAACTTAAAAACCAGACTGGATTGGATTTGGGACTGGACTGGGTCCGATTTGGGCTGATCTGGGTCTTCTTTGGGCTGGACAGGCCCGGTGGGAGGCCTCAGGTATTCAGTATTAAATAAGGGCTAGCTGCTAATGATAATCTCAGAAGTCAAGCTGAAGATTGGTGGGCAGAAGTTGAGCATTTAAAGGCTGTTAGAGTGCTTGCCACTTTGAGAAGACTCACATGAGAGGCCCTCTTAGGTATTGGTTTGGCTCCAAGAAACCCAAAGGCCTAGCTAAAAGAAATGGGATCCTTTATATCCAGAGCTCTGCTTTCCCACATGCTTGCTTATTTTATGTTTAAGAACTCTGGTCCCAGAAGCTTCAGATATCTAGCAAAATGGCAAAATTTTACTAAAAAATAACCTAGAATTACAATGACCATTATGGGGAACGTTCCAGTCAGAGAGATCACTCATGTAAGAAATGCACTTGAGAGGAAGACGGTCCCAAGTCCAACAGACGGAACGGGATGCCTACTTAATTGGTATGCAGAAGCCTCCAAAAGGTTTGTAGATTCCAAAATAGCTTCATTGAACTACTTCGTTACAAAAGGCCAATGAAAAATTAGAGACACAAGAGGTACCTAAAATAAAAGACAATAGGACTGAGGTTAGTCCTACTGCTCCTATCCTTTTTTACCTAAGAACTCATGTTGTATTAATCCTCTGTCCAAACATCCTTTCCACTCTGAAGAGACTATCAGACAGTTACCTTTTAAAATAAAACGACCCAAGGTTGCAAACGAACCTCTCAGGTATCTGTCTCCCCTTGGTCAAAGACTGAACTAGTGGCCATAATTAAAGAACTTCCTAAACCTACGGAGGAAGACCAAATGTTTTTTGAAGAATCTGAGTCATCATCAGGGCCCCCAACCCCAGCTGCCAGGTCTTTATCAGCATGTACACATGTTGGTAAGACTGCTGAAGTCCAAAAATGGAGGCAGGAAGCAAGACAGCAAAACCCCATGGATGGTATTTGAGATCCTTGGTCTTCAACATCTCAGGGACCACAAGAAGCTCACAAAATAGCAGCCAAACATTGACAAGCCATTCCTAGAGACTTCAGACAGGTATAACTAAACCTCTCCCTAAATTACTTCACTAACCATTAAAGCCTGAGACTGTACAATGCCTCACATCCACAGAAGACCTAATTGCCCCAGGGCTAATCATCCCTTGTACCAGTTCCTGCCACACCCGACCTCGCCAGTCTGGAAACCTCATGGACGGGATGCTGATTTTTCCAGGATTTGAGAGCTATTAATAAGACAGTGATTCCCCATCCCAGTCATTCCAAACCTCAACACCCTTCTGTCACACGTTCTACCAGACTCCAAATGGTTCACCGCGGTGGATCTGTTCAGCCTTTTTCAACATCCCTGGTGACCCCTGTAGCCATATCTATTTGCCTTACTTGAACTGTCAACACTTTACCTGGCCAGTCATGCCTCAAGAATTCATGAGGTTGCTTCTTACTTCTCTTGAGCACTTCACCAAGATTTAAGCAACACTCCAGTTCCTTGGGAAATCCACCCTTTTGCAATATGTAGAAGACCTCTTGCTACTTTCAGCCTCCAAAAAGGAGTCCATAAAAGATTCCATCTATTTGCTAGAGCAGTTAGCTGAAAAGGGACACAAAGTCTCTAAGAGAAAATTACAATTACCTCTAGACACGGTTCATTACCTGGGTCATTACCTAAGCCCTGAAGGACTTCAGCTGTCTCCCAAAAGAATTAAGCTAATCCAGGAATTTCCTACACCCCACAACTAGGTGACAGATCTGTGGATGACTAGGCTTGACTGGTTATTGCAGATGATGGGCTCCTAATTTTTCGCTATTAGCTAACCCACTCTATGAACTTACTAAAATTTCAGTCCCTGAACACTTTTCTTGGGAAGACAAACGTGAGCAGGCTTTCAGGAGACTGAAAGAAGCACTGTAAGAACCGCCTGCCATAGGGCCACCTAATTATGCAAAACCTTTCACCTTATTTGTGCAGGAAAGGGGTAATCAAGCCCTGGGAACGCTCACTCAAGAGCAGGGTAGTAAACAGAGGCCTATTACCTAGTACAGCACACACCTTGATTCAGTTGCTCCTGCCTATCCCAGCTGTCTTAAGGCCACAGAGACAGCAGCAAAATGAGTGGCAGTCTCGTCAGATTTGACCCTGTCTGAAGTCTTCTTAAGTCAGAATTGACTCAGCCTTTCTTGCAGGTAGACTAACTTCCTATGAGATCCTTCTGCGTCCACCACCTCATCTGTGTCTTAAACATCGCAACACTCTTAGTCCTGCTACATTACTACCTCTACCTGAGGAGGTTGAGTCCATGACTACAAGGTACTAATGTTCTGTTTTGTGATAGCAGGTTCTGATTTATGAGATACTCCTTTAACTACTCCTGATCTAGAATCTTTGTGGATGGGTCATACCGTAGAAATGAAAAAGGGGACTTTCAAGCTGGCTGTGCTACTCCTACCCAAGACGACCTACTCGAGAGAGGAAACCTTCCCTAAGCTCCATCCACACAACAGACAGAGCTCCGTGCCCTTACCTGAGCATGCCAGCTATCAGGAGGACAAACTTAATATTTATACCGATAGCCAGCATGTCTTTGGGGTCGTCCATGACTTAGGGATGTTACAGAAACAAAAGGGCTTTCTTATGTCCGCTGGGACTCAAACAAAAATGGGCAACAGGTAAATGATCTTCTTACTGCTAGTCTCTTACCTCCTGAATTTGCTGTCATCAAAACTGAGGCTCACACTGAGAGACTGAAACCTGAGTGTCAGGGAAATGCCCCGGCTGACTTTTGTGCAAAGGCAGCAGTAAATAAATCTATAAAGACCGTGGCACGTGGATGAAATCCATTCTGCCTCTGCGAAAAAATGCCCCCTCCTCGCCAGATTTTGGCCATCCTGGTATCCTTGTAACATGGCAACAGTCTATACCTGAATCAGAAAGTAAGATGGGTAAACAGGGGCTGTAAATGAAACGAACATTTGGGGCTATGGGAAACTCAAGACAGTGGCTTGGTTCTTCCTGGCTCCCTGACAAACCCCACTCTTTGGTTTTTGCATTACTGAACCCATTGCAGGGCTTTTAAGATGAACTCAGATTACGAACTGACATTGGTGGGGAAACTTCTATAAAACTGCAAAAACAGTCTGCAGCCATGTCTGATGGGCCAGGTTCATAATCCTAGAGAAACTATTTTTGTTTCCAAAGGCCTCAGACCTCCTCCGTCTGGACCCTCGGGACACCTGCAGCTGGACTTCATTCAACTGCTGCTTAGCTCGGGTTTTCAATCTGTTCTGTTACTTGTGTGTGCTTTCTGGATGCGTGCAAGCCTTCCCCTGCTAAAAGGCTGATGTCCTCATGATGGCAAAGAAACTGTCAGAGAATGTGTTTCCCACTTGGGGGATACCTTCCACAACCTCCAGCCATCCAGGCACCCACTTTACTTGGAAAATCACAGGAGGCTTAATGAAAACCTTGCAAACGTTTCGGAATTATCATTGTCTTTATCACCTGGAATCATCAGGCGAGGTTGAGAGAACTAATGGGATCCTCAAACTTAACATTTCTGAACTTGCTGAAATCATGGGACTCCCCTGGCTTAAGGTATTACTTTTGCTCTCCCTGTTTGCAGCACCTCCTCTGGGAAACATAAACTCAGTCTACAGGAGATAGTCACCATCAGACCAATGTCTTATACAACCTTCTGCTGATCCCTTGTCTCATGCTAGTATGACCAGCTACTGTACCTCTTTACTGTCTGATGCTCAAGCATATCATCAACAAATTAAGGAAGATTTAATCTGATCCCAATTCAAGGCCACAGTCTAGAGTCTGATGATTGAGTATTCCAGAAGCATCATCAAAGAAAGACAGCCCTTGAGCCCCATTAGAAGAGCTGACCACTCCTGACAGTGGTACTTCTGACCACTGACACTGCTACAAAACTAGAGGGTATTGAGCCCTGGATACACAGCCCACAGCTAAAGAAGGCTCCACTTGTCATCTGGTCCTGTACAGATGCTGGAGAACTCTGGATCACATAGGTGAGGAAGAGAAGTATCTGGCACCAAAGTAGACTGCTTCTACCCAAGACTCTGATTAATACCTCATACTTTGACTAAACATGAAACCCCTTCTTCTTCTCTTTTCATTAGTCTAGCACTGGCCAGGAAAGATAATTCCATCATCTGTATCTCCCAATCCATTGCTAAGGGAGGCAAACTTGCAGATTACTGGATTCGTCATGATGCAAGAGACCCCCTGGTCCTCCCTGTGACCAATTTCTCTTATATTCCCATGTCACCACAAACTACAGTTGACCCCTGCTTAGAAGCAGGTACCCAAGTAGACAAATTTACTCATGTGAATCTTTGTATATTTGCACCCCCACATGCCCATGATTATATCAAGATCAGATCTGCCCCCACTCACCAAGAGATCTCACCAGCAGGACCCATCTTTTTCAGGCACTTAGGATGATTTTTTATTTCAGGCTAGACAGTTCTTTTCCCATATGCACTAAAAACCTGACTGACCTCTGGTGTAGGAGTAAATACAAATGAGACTATGATCAGAAACTTCTTAACTCTTGGAAACATTGCAGATTCCATTGCTAAGACCCTAGTTGCCCAGCAAAGATCCTAAGACTTTCTGGCCAAAGTTCTCCTTGATAACAGGATTATCTTTTGGCTGGGCAAAGAGGTGTCTGTGCTATGGCCAACACCACATGCTGCATGCACCTAGATTAACACTTCTGGGGAAGCTGAAACTCAGTTACATAAAATCACTGAGCAAGCCACTTGGCTTAAAAGGATGACTCTTACAACTGGGTCATTCTTTGATTGGTTTGGTCTCGGGAACCATGGCTCCAAAGTGCACTCCAAACATTGGGAATGATCCTGCTTATGGTTATCGTAATAATCTCCCTGGTGTGTTCCGTTCTCTCAAAAGCTTGAAATGCATGTTTGTAGCCGCTTATCACCAAGCAAATGATCTCCCTAAGACTGGAACATCAAAAAAGAGACGAAGAGAATGGCTGGCTGAACGACTGTGAGCCTGAATCACGACCTGTGAACACCACAGCGATTCATCAAAAGAAATGAGATCAACAAGAGCTTTTAGAACAGACCGCCAGCTGAGAGTAGTACTAATGCCTTCAATTTTGATCACACCTCTCAGTTCAGCTGACAGGTTCATGAAGGGGACAGGGGAAGGGGGGGAGTGTTGAAAAGAAACAACAGGTCCAAAATGGAATCACTTATGTTAAGCCCCACCGAGATTTAATACCTAATCTAACTGCAGTTTCAGCCTCTGCCACGAGTGGGATTTTAAACCGGTCAGTCTAGAATTTCCTGATGAGCACTAGGGAGGTACTCTGCACAAGATCCCTGCCCTTCCGCCTAAGAAAGGTGACCTTGCCTGGAACAATCTTTTCTTTTGCAATAATTTCCTTGACCCACTCAATTTCTGGCTATAAGCCTTCCATTTTATGCAACTCCTTGGAGCACACTTCCAGTTATTAGACAGGATGGTGCCCAATTCGAGAGTCACTGAATAAGGCTAATTATACCTTTAAACTTACTTGGTTGAATTTTGTTCTTTAATAGATTTTAACTTCAAAGGCCATGACAATCAGAAAAGATTTGATCCAGTCCCAACATCTTTGGGGTATTTATGTATCCTTTTGGTTTTACCTTTCATTTATTTGAATTTTAAAATTGGATAGGTAAGTTTATGTCATTGTAACTCAGTTCTTTAATACCATTTCACCTTCCAAATGAACTCAACCAAGAATAGAGAAACTCATGTGTTCCCAGCAAGATAGCCATGTCATCATAGTGACTGGCTATCAGCAACCCATCACTCCTGTGTCTTTATCAGCAACCCATCACTCCTGTGTCTTATGAATTGGGATGCCATAGTCAAGTGCAACTAAAGTGCACAGGGTAATTCAATCTTCAGGAATTACAAGAGTGTGATTTATAAACATCATTATGGAACAATCCCATTGTTTTGACTCCTCCCTGTGCCTAAGCTGTCAGGTAAATAATCTTTTACTGTAACATATAACCATATTTCCAAAATCTAAACATTACTTCTTTTTCATGAGCTTACTGTCACCATTTTGGCAAACATCTTTACTCACTTTTGCCATCAAAATGGAATATTTTTGTAAAATTCCTTAAGCCTTTAAGAATATATTTCTTAAAAAAGGACTTCTAAGACACCTTAAAACAATAAGTTTTGCAACCATTTTTGTTTTTCAATATTTAATTCATTGAGACTTGTTCATTCGTTTTGTTATTTTTTAAGTACAACGGTAATAGTTTTATGTTATGTATGACATTCACATAAACTTAGATATTTTGCTCCAAAAAACATACACCAAGAAATTCTACTGAATATTATTTACATTATTTATAGGCTTATATAAGTATCTTGTGCTTATAAATTTCTGTCATGCCCCACATCTGAAAACAAGAATTTCATACCCACTACTAGAAAAGATAAAAATGACCATCCTTCCCATCTCAGCTTTCCAATCTAAAGGAGGCAATCAATGAGTGATTACTGAATGAATGAGTAGGCAAATTTGAACAGCATTTTACTTTTTTCCAAAGCGTTTTCACATCAGTATCTGGGAGAAGTTTTGGACCTGTTGTAAAAGAGAAGAGGTTCACAAATATTCTTATCAGAGTTCTGTTCAGGTGTTGCATCATTATTTCCAAATTTCCAGGACTACAGTGAGTATCTTCTTTCTGTTAGGCACTTGTACACAAGAGTTGGGCAGACACAGAATTTATCTGCAGTAACATTAGAGAACATCCTTGTTACGTGTGTTTGCTGCTTTGTGATATCAATCACTGCTTATTAACCTTTGCCCCTTTTCTTTCAGATAGACTCTATAACTCTGCTGAACTGCATAAAGACGTTTCCCGAATGTAATTCTGAATTCTTTAACATTCATCCGTTGCTGACAAAAACAAACTTCACATTTAGTTACTCAACGAACCCATGATGTTATATCCATTCTAAGCACAGAGGTGGTCCTACCGGGTCACACCACCCTTTGAACAGCCAATATATTCATAGAATTAATTGTTCCAAGAATGCTAGGAATACAATGAGTGGTTGTCCCATCTTTAGAGACGGTGTGTCTACCACAAAGCCAGGAGATTCCAAGTCTTACTTATTACACATACAATGTACTTATTACACATACACATACAATATAATGGCTTGGCTTTCTCATTGCTGAGGTCAACATGCAAGCTGGAAGACTTTCTGGAGCCTATGTTTCACCCAGAGACTCTGGCTTCAATATGAAGTACCAGGTACACTGTGATAATCTTTAGATCAGATGATCAAATCTCAGTATATACACATACCTGTTCCTGCAGCTCCTTTTTAAAATTGTCATCTTGAGCTTTACATGAGACCTTGGGGTCAACCAAAGGTTCATCTGCTCTTTGCCTTTTCCACAACTTGGTGTTCAGATACCATGCTCCATACCTCATCTTCACACACTTTGGTTTATGAGGATTCTACAGAAAATAACATTATTCCCAATTTCATTTGTTTTTTATGCTTGTCATTTCAATAAGTTGAAGATTTAGCTTATGAAAGCAGTAGCATTTATTTTTAGCTTATGATTGATCCTTGCCAAAGTATTTTATGAAGTTTCAGTATGCTTTGATTTACAAAGGTACCTTGAAAAGTTCATGAACGAGAAAATAATGTGATGGTTAAGTATGGTCTTTGGACTTAGACAAACGTGGGTTCAAAACCAGCCTCCCCTACTTAGTAGCTATGAGTCCACAGGCAAATTATTTAATTCTTCATCTGTAAAATGGAGATAATAGTATCCACTCCATAGGGTTGTAGTAAAGATTAAAGGAGAAAGTTATGTAAAGCAGCTAGAAATCATATAAAAATCACATATTTCACTGAAGGATAATGACCTTAAACAATACTGAGCCAACCGGGGCACCTGCGTGGCTCAGTCAGTTAAGTATCTGACTCTTGATTTCAGCTCAGGTTGTGATCTCAGGGTCATGGGATCCAGCCCCATGTCAGGCTCATCGCTCAGTGGGGAGTCTGCTTCTCTCCCTCTTCCTCTTCCTCTGCCCCTCCCCCTGCTCGCAATGGTCCCCATCTCTCTGTCTCTCTCTAAAATAAATAAATCTCAAAAAAACACCAATACTCAGTCAACCAAAATAATGAGTTATAGACTTACTATGAGCCCAGCACTGTGTTCAGCCTTGTAAATGCTACACTACTTACAAAACGCTATCCAGCAACAGCAACAACAACAAATATGCTATCCAACACTACTCTCTTGCCTCCAATTGGAAGAGAGAAAGAGAAGGAAGAATAAACGTCATTCCTTTCTTTCTCCCATTCCTCAGTAGTGAATGAAGGATATAAAGAGATCATAGCCTGAGAGTGTGGATGTAATGCCCACACCCTCAGCAAGGCAAAGATGTGAAACCACAAAGATTCTGCCCCTCTCTCTTCTCACTCACACTTAAACCTGAGGCAGAATGTGTGAGTCATTCTAGAGTCAAGGCAGATATTCCTTATCTAAACCAGAGAGGATGGGACGGGGCAGGGAGGCGGAGTGAGCCCTTCTCAGAGCTGAATTCAGCGTTTTGATGCCTCCATTTCAAGCATACTGTTTAAAAATTGTAACCACCTCAAAACACTCCTTGTTTTCCTTCCCTGCCTCACTTTTCTTAACAGTACATATCACCATTTGATATGCTATATAGTCTTCCGACTGCTTGTCTCTCCTTTCATCCTCTAAAATGTAAGCTTCAGAGATTGTTCCCGGATACAACCCTCTGGCATCTAGAACAATATTTTGGACATAACAGGTGCTCAATAATATTTGTTGAATTAAAATTTATTGTTTAACTTGGCATTATTGATACTTTGAGCTGGATAATCCTTTGTTGGGGGGTCAGGGAGGGTGCTCTCCTAAGCATTGTAGGATTTTTTTTTTTTAACTTTTTAAAAAAGATTTCACTTATTGGGGCACCTGGGTGGCTCAGTTGGTTAAGCGTCTGCCTTTGGCTCAGGTCATGACCCCAACTTCCTGGGATCAAGCCCCGCCTCAGCGGGAAGCCGGCTTCTCCCTCTCCCTCTGCTTGCCTGCCTGTCTGCTTACTTGTATCTCTCTCTCTCTGTCAAATAAATAAATAAAATCTTTAAAAAAAAGATTTCACTTATTTATTTGTCAGACAGAGAGTGAGTGCACAAGCAGGGGGAGTGGAAGGAAAGAGAAGGGAAAAAAAGGAGGGGATGAAATCTATACTACTGTTACACTACAGATCTGAGTTCTGAAATATGTTATGTTGTTGGGTGACTAGCAATCTTTCAAGACTCAGTACAAATATAATTTCCTCTGTGAGGGCTTCACTGAACCCACCCTCACCCCGTGCTTGCTGGAACTGATTACTTCTTCCTAGGTCTCTATGAACCATGACATCACTTCATTAGAGTTAATCGTTTACCTGTTGACCCAACTAGCTGTAAGCTCCTTAAGTGCAGGAAACAAGCCTTTGTCTCTGCTCCTTCATTTGTTCCCAGCACTTTTTGGCACGTAGCAGTAGAAAATCAGAAATGTTTGTTGAGGGATTGCATAGACAAATGGATGAATGAATACACAGGGCAAAAAGAGATATGCTGCAGCAGGGACACAGACTGCTGGGAGAGATTAGAAGTAAGAATGAATGCATGTCAACCAAGGGACCTGAAAAATCTCCATGGAAAAACTGGCATATGACCTGGGTCCAGAGGGAGATACGAGAAGGTAGACGTGGGAAGAGGGGCACTTCAGGCAGAGAGAATACTATGAGCACAGGTAAGGTTGGGGAAAAGCTCAGAGTTTAAAAGAAGACCAAAGAGCAATGTAGCAGGCCCAAGAGTATGTGGGATACAAATAAAGATGGGGATTTCCACCTCTGGAATAGGGATCAGATTTACCCTCCCACATGCAGCAGCCAAAAAGTAGAAATCAGTATAAATATAAATATAAATAAAATATACACACACATATAAGGGTTTATAAGACACTAGACATCAAATAACAAGTAGGATGTGCTCTCTGTCACTATCTCTGTCTCTCTCAAATAAATAAAATTTATTTTTATTTAAATTTAAAAAATTTTTTTAAAGATTTTATTTATTTGAGCCAGAGAGAGAGAACACAGAGGGAGAGTGAGAGGGAGAAGCAGACTCCCTGCTGAGCAGAGAGCCTGACACGGGGCTCGATCCCAGCACCCCGGGATCATGACCTGAGCTGAAGGCAGATGCCCAATCGACTGAGCTGCCCAGGCACCGGCCCCAGTTCACTGTCTTGAGAGACTTTCCAGGCCACAGAGCAGGGAGACACTCAGGAGGAGACCAGCAGACTCTCCGAGTTGAGGAGACAGAATTGAGAGACCAGAACAAGGCAAAGGCAAGTTGGCAGCAAGGAGTAACAGAAAGGAGAGAAGTGCGTAGAGAGGGCACCCAGCGGTTTGCCCGCGTCCCCCTCAGCATGTGTGAGAGGAAACTGCCTGAGTTTAGGGAAAGAACCACCCAAAAGCATTAGAAGCAACAGGGCCCTGCATGTACACAGGGCCAGGGACAGTGCCTGTTCCCTTCTGAGAAACCTAAAGACTCACAGGACACTCACTCACAGAGAGAACACAAAACATAATTCGTAAAAAAAAAAACTGAAGGGTCTTGTCCCAGTAGTAGAGAATTAGCCATAGACTGAACATTCCTTCAGTCCTTCCTAACAAATTTTAAGAGCTGACCCAAAAGGATCAAACTTTTCCAAGTAAGTTTAACTACATCCCAGAACAAAACTCAAGTTTACAGGAATACACAAATACCCTGCCCCCAAAGGTAAACTCCACAGTGTCTGGCCTCCACTAAAAAATCACCAGGCATGAAGAGAGGCAAGAAGACATGATCCATAATGAAGAGACAAATCAATTAACGGAAACTTACACGGAACTGGTACAGATGTTAGAACTAGCAGACACGAACATCAAAAACAGTTATTATAACTGTATTTCATATGTTTATGATTAAGGAGAGACATGGAAATATTTTTTTAAAACTCAAGTCAAACTTTTTTTTGTTTTTAAAGATTTTATTTTTTTATTTCAGAGACAGAGCATGAACGGGGGGTGGTGGGGGGAGGAGGGTCAGAGGCAGAGGGAGAAGCAGGCTCCCCACTGAGCAAGGAGCCCAGTGCGGGGCTCGATCCCTGGACCCTGGGATATGACCTGAGCCGAAGGCAGACACTTAACGACTGAGCCACCCAGGTGCCCCTCAAGTCAAACTTTTTGAAATGAAAATTATAATGTATATAATTGATGAAAAATACACTAGAGGGGATCGATGGCTGATTAGACATTGCATAAAGAACAGATTAGAACCTGTAAGGACAGCAGTTGTAGCACAGAGAGGAATAAACAATCCCAAACCCCAAAGTGAGCTGTGAGACAACCCCATGCAGCCTAGTTACCTGTAATGGGCGTCCTCAGAGCAGGGAGGGAGAGAGACAACAACATTTTTGAAGAAATAATGATCAAAATTTTCCAAATCTGATGAAAACTATAAACCCGTGGATCAAAGAGGCTCAGCAACCCACAGGCACAAGGTGTATATAATAATCACACTACTCACAAGCAGCGACAAAGAGAACATCTTTAAAGGAGCCAAGGGAAAACACACGTCCAGAAAAACACTGATGAGGAAGGCTTAAGATTTCTCATCAGAAACAATACAACCAAGAAGGCAGTGGAATACCATCTTTAAAGTACTGAAAACAAACAAAACACTGTGAGCCTAGAATTCTATACCCATAACAATAGCTTTAAAAATGAAGGCAGAATAAGGATATTTTCAGACATACAAAAGCTGAAGGAATTAATCACCGGCAGATCATTACTAGAAGCAGGGTTAAAGGAGGTCCTACAGGCAGAAGGGAAATGACACCATATGGAAATGTATTTGAACTTTCACATAGTGACCCTCTGTCTGCCAGTCAAAAGGTCAGTTTTGGCAATAACCACAAGGGCCTATAAAGCAGCAGTTGTGCAATGATTTGTACATAGGGGAATTGAGCAATTTGATTCAGCCCAGATTCAGGGCAAGCTGTGGTTCAGGCCTCAGGTGTGATGGACATAATATGTCTGTCCAACATCACTGTGCATTTTATGCTTTAGAAAGATGAGGAGCAAATGGAAAATTTTAAGTGCTGATATTAGTATTGGAATACATAGTTTTCATAAACCTTATGCAACAGAGCCAAGGATGGAAAACACCACATGTAAAAACAGGTCAGTCCATTGTGTTCAGATATAAAGGACAAAGTTACTATGTTTAGATGTTAGAAATATAGTATCAAAGATCACATGTAAAAGACAGAGGGTAGAGATAATATATTCTTTTTCACTTTCAGAGAAAGGAACTTCCTCACACCCACACCCACCCCGGACCACCACTTAGGTACTTAAATCTGTTGTTGGACTTGGGGCATGTGGGTGGCTCAGTTGGTTGAGCTTCAGACTCTTGGTTTTGGCTCAGGTCAGGATCTCAGGGTCATGGGATCGAGCCCCATGTCAGGCTCTGTACCCAGCACAGAGTCTGCTTCAGATTCTCTCTCCCTCCCGCTCTCTCTCTCTCTCTCTCTCAAATAAATGAGTATGTAAATAAATAAATAAATAAAATCTTTAAAAACAATGTGTTGTTGGACTGATACAATTTGATCCGTGTGCATATGTATTTGCAGCTGTATGTCATATAGGAAAATAGAAAAGCAATTAAAAGTCCATTCTGCTTCCCTTTGGAACGCAGCTTGTTTTTTCTCCTCTGTTTCCTTGTTCTTCTATCTTCATAGGCCAGTGGTATTGAAAAACTGAGCAATTTGTTAATAATTGGCAAGCATGTGCTCAAGAATGCGGTCAACAAGACTCCCCCCAAAATTCATGAATTCTTTGGACAAAGAATAAACAACTTTAATGATCATTAACTGCAGCATTTAACTCTTGGACTAATAAACTTTCATCTATATTCCCATCAACTGTTAGAATTTCAACATATAAAACACATAGAGAGGATTTCAACATATAAACACAGAGAGAAAACAATGAATATTCAGATACTAACAATAATGCTGGGGGCGCCTGGGTGGCTCAGTCAGTTGGGCGTCTGCCTTGGGCTCAGGTCATGATCCCAGGGTCCTGGGATGGAGCCCCGCATCATCGGGCTCCCTGCTCAGCAGGGAGCCTGCTTCTCCCTCTGCCCCTTCCCCCTGTTTGTGCTCTCTCTCTCTCATGCTTTCTCTCTCAAATAAAAAATAAAATCTTAAAAAAATTATGCTGAATGGCATGCCTTGTTTATATAACTAGCTTATTACATATATCGAATATTCATTGATTTAACAAATATTTATTAAACACCAAAAAAAATTCAAGAATTCTACTGAAAAAGGCCAGTGCCCCCCCTCCCGAAATACCAGAATTCAAGAACATTTAAGATTTTAATCCAACTTAATTTTCTTTGATTTTCAGTCTTCTCCTCTTTTTTTTCATCAATTACCTGTGGTTTCTGGTGTTTCTGCTCATAGTCTAGTTTCTGGAAAAACTGTGGCTCCTGCAGTTTCTTTGACCCCACTCTCTTCTTTAGCTCTAGAGGAGTCTGGTTGAGTCTCATCGTGTGGAGCACATCATGGCTTGGTTTGCTCTGATAGTCAATGTCAAACTGTTTCAGGATGAACTCTTCATCAATGTTTGAACTTCCCTGGAAGAATATCACATTGCATGAATCAAGGACAAATGGTGAAATTCTTCTTTAATCTAAAGGAGGCATTTTACTATGGCTAGAGAAGAGGTAGTTTGGAGGAGAGGTAGAAAATGCTCAGACAGCATTCACTGGGGACAAGAAGTATTGGGGTTCTGGAGAACTTTGTCAGTGTATTAAGGAACAACTTAGGACCAGCCAGAAGCAGTGAGTCCCTGAAGGAATTAATGGGCTGAGAAAAATTCAGTCTGTTTAATCCTAAACAAACCTGAGTGCATAAAGATGTGGTACACACACACACACACACACACACACACACACACACTGGAATATTATTCAGCCATAAAAAGAATGAGGTCTTGCCATTTGTGACAACATGGATAGACCAAAGGGTATTGTGCTAAATGAAATAAGACAGAGAAAGACAAATACCACATGACTTCACCTATATGTGGAACCTAAAAAACAAAACAAATGAACAAACAAACAAGAAAACAGAAACAGATTCATAAATAGAGAACAAACTGGTGGTTGTCAGAAGGGAGAGGGGTGGGGGAATGGGTGCAATGGGTGAAGGGGAGTGGGAGGTAAAGGTTTCTAGTTATGGAATAAATAAGTCATGGGGATAAAAGGTACACCATAGGAATACAATCAATGGTTCTGTAATAGTGTTAAATGGTGACAGATAGTAACTACACTTGCAGTGAACATAGCATAATATATAGAATTGGAAAATCACCATGTTGCACACCTGAAACTGGAGTCAGATAAATGGATTCAGATAGAGAAGAGCAGCCAAGAGACAGAACACAAAACAACATTTTAACACCTAGATCTAGCTATACCTGAGGTTCCTAGGACCTCTGGATGGTTCCCTTACCTCCCTAATCTAGTCTGAATTATAGTTCGGTCACTTTCCAGTGAAATAGTCCTAAATAATACATTGGACAGAACTGACTAATGTTTTCAAAAAATAGGGGAGGAAGATTACAAATCCTAGTGGGTCTTAAATCCAGGAAAAACCTAAGGAATTAGACATCTACAGGGACTCGAGAACACAAATAGGTATTTAAATGGGTTCTTGAAAGGAGGGCGAGGAAAGATTTTTAAGAACTAACAAAAGTCTACTCATGTCAGAAATACCTTTTGTGAAGGTTGTGGTTAAACATAGCTGCCTGAGTACTTACAGATAAATATAACTGAGAAAAATGAATTGAAGGAGTGAAGGACAGAAAAAAAAAGGACATTAAAATGGAAAATAAAAATATGAAACAACAGGGTGGGGGAAATGAGTAGTTATTAGCCAAAATATATAAACTTTCAGTTATAGGATGAGTAAGTTCTGGGAATCTAATGTACAGCATGGTGATTATAGTTAATAAAATTGTATTTATACTTGAAAGTTGCTAAGAGAGTAGATCTTAAGTGTTCTCACCACACTCAAAAAAAGTAATTATGTGAGGTGATGGATGTGTTAACTAATCCTATTGTGGCAATCATTTTGCAATATACATATATATATATATACATATATATGTATGTATTGAATTATCACATTGTACACCTTAAGCTTACACAATGTTATGTCAGTTATATCTCAATAAAGCTGGCAAAGAAAAAGAGCCACTAAAAAGAAAGAAAGAAACAGCAATGTGACATATAAACAATAAACACTCAAATAGGCAGCAAGCTTGCGAACTTTCCAGAAACATCATCTACAGGAAACATTTGTAATCATAAATGGTGGAAGAATCATAATTCCTTTATGACTTTATTTGACTTAGATCATATCCTAACACTATTTTTTAATAATAGCAACTCTGAGCTTGACTTCAAAAAGTAGGTTGTAAGTATTACTACTAACTTACAAAAGTAGTAGCCCAGTTGCAGAAGTCCCTAACTCCTTTGCGCACATTTTCATAACAAAGAGGACCATCTTCATGGAGCAAATCTGTTTCGGTTGGCTTCTTTTCTTCATAAAGCCATTGACCTGGATGTGACACGGGAGTCTTCTTGGGACTAAGGATAATGAGATCATCAAAGACTTACAAGATGAGACACCATGAATCCAAGTAGATTTCAAACACTATCTTTTTTTTTTTATGTTACGTTAGTCACCATACATCATTAGTTTTTGATGTAGTGATCCACGTTCAAACACTATCTTGAGGAAAGAAGATGGTAATGTGTGCATTTCTAAAGTCTCTCACAAGCTCATACAAGGTAAACGTTAATTTTCCAAAATCACATTCTCATCCATATCATAAAGGCAAGTATATCATGATTAGTTATAATAATTAAAATGTATATAGCATTTTCCAGTATAAGTTGATTTTTTGAAGTTATGAGTATCATTTATTAAGATATGTACCAAATTACTGTGCTTGGAGTCTGCTAAAGCTATAGGCAATCTTGACAAGCAGGAGATGTCCTTGACTTCTCTCTCTCTCATCCCTAAAATCCAGCCCATTAACAAATCTGGTAGGTTTTAACTCTGTCTCCATCTCCGGACTGTTACAAATGCTCCTCTCTGATCTTCTCTTAGGGCCCCAACCCCCAACACCTAATCCATTCTCAGCACTGAAGCTAAAACAGTCAATTTCAAAATATAAATCTGGTCATAGCAAATGAGGCCACCCTTCACCCTCAATTAAACCTCTCAATAGCTTCTTTTTAAATTGAGATATAATTCACATAGTATAATATTTACCATTTCAAGGTGTACAATTCAGTGGCTTCCATACATTTACAAAGTTATGTAACCACTACTATTATCTAATTCTGGAACATCTGCATTAACCCCAAAAAGCAGCTCCATAACCCCTGACAGTCACTCTTCATTTCCCCCATTCTCTCTGCTCCTGAAAACCAGTAATCTACATTCTGTCTCTATGGACTTGCCTATTCTGGACATTTTATCTGAATGGAACCTTATAATATATGGCATTTTGTGTCGGGCTTCCTTCACTTAATATCACATTTCAAGGTTCATACATGCTATAGCATGTATCAGTGGTTTACTCCTTTTTATGACTAAGTCACATTTTCTGAATGGACCACATTTCGTTTATCAATCATCAGTTGGTGGACATCTGGCCTATTATGCATAGTGCTGCTATGAACGTTCAGGTACAAGTTTTTGTGTTCAGTAGCTTATTACTCTCCCATTAAAGACCTAAGTCTTAACTCAGTTTCCAAGGCTCTTCATGGCCTGATCCTTGCCTGTATCTCCTGATGCTTCTGGCATTACCACCCTCCCTCACTCTCTGAGCTCCAGTCATCGTGGCCTTCTCTGAGTTCCATGAATTCATCATGATCCCTTCAGCCACAGGGCCTTTGCACATGTTGTACCATTTGACTGCAATGCCTTCTGGATTCCCTCATCCCCCTTATGTTCCAACATACATATCCCTTCCTCAGGGAGGTATTCCTGGGCTGTCCCCAGAACCCATACTTCCTTCCCAGCACCCTGTACCTTTTATTTGTAGCGCCTATATATTAATTCGTCCATCCATTCATTCAACAAACATTTATTAAACACCAGCTAAGTACGAGGCACAGCTCCAGGCATTAGGATTCAGCTGTAAATAAAATTTAAACCCTGTTCTCATAGAACTTAAGATTGAGACAGATAGGAAAGAGGTAAGCCTATGCCAGGTGATTGCCAAGTGATATAAAGAAAAATAAAAGAGGGCAGGAGGGATGGATAGTGTTGACAGGGGACTTTTTATTTCTACAGAGAAGGCCTCGCCACCAAAGTGATAGTTGAGCAGAGACCCAAAAGAAGAAGTGGATCACACCATGCAGAATCAAACTGCAGACACCAGGCAGAAAAGAACATGTACAAAGGTCCCAAGGCGTGAGCGTGCTGAGCGTGGACGAGGAGCAGCAGAGAGTCTCGTGTGACTGGAGGACAGAGTAGAGGAGGGTGAAGTCTGACGGGTAACGGGGCCTGATCGTAAGAGACTTTAGAGGCAACTGTAAGACTTTGGATTTTACTCTGAATAAGCAAGCAATTGGAGAATTTTTTAAAATAAAAAACATAGCATTTATTGTCATCATATGTATCCTGCAGCACATTTTTTTAAATTGAAGTATACTTGACACATGATCATGTCACATTAGTTTCAGGTGTACAACTTAGTGATCCGACAGGTCTATATGTTACCCTGTGCTCACCACAGATGTAGCTGCCATCTGTCACCCTATGAGGCTATTACAATACCATCGACTACATTCCCTATGTGTACCTTAACTGGAGAATTTTGAGCACAGGAATGAGGCTGACGTAACTTTTTAAAAGAATCATTTTAACTACTGTGTGACAAATAGACTGGGGCAGGGAGAGGGGCTACGTTGGGTGGAGGCCATGAGACCACTTAGTAGACTATGGCAATAATTCAGGCAAGAGATGGTGTTATCTTGGAACAAAGTGACAGTCATACTGTAGGTGAGAGTCCGGATATATTTCAAAGATAAAGCCATTAAGATTTGTTGGCAGTTTCAAAAGTAACTGGGAGAATGAAGTTGCCATTTACTGATCTGGAAAAGACAGAAGGGGGAGTAGGTCTGGGGAAGAAATCAAGAGTTCAGTGTGGACTTGTTGAGTTTGAGATGGCAAGTGTACATCCAAGGGCAAACGGTGAACATCCGTATAAAACGGGCAGGATGGGGTCGCCTCGGTAGGTGTCCGAGACTGATGCACTTCAAGGTTAAAAGGAAAATGAGGAGGGACCAGCAAACGAAGACTGGGGAGAAGTCATTGAAGGAGGAGGAGAAGCAAGAATGGGGGCTCTTCCAGAGGCCAGGTGAACAAAAGTGTTTCAAGAAAGAGGACATCATCAATTGTGTCAACTGCTACTGGCCCATCAAGCATGATGATCACTGAGAACGGACGAGGTGACATAGAAGTCAATGGCAACCATGACCAAGGGCAGCTCCATTGGAGTGCTGGTGAGTTAAAGAAAGAAGAGGAAGTGAGTATGGACTCCCCTTTCATGGAGTTTTGCTCTAAAGGAAAGGAGAGACTCTGAGCTCAATGAAAGTTGTTTTGAAGATGGGAGATACTACCTCACGCTGTGGTGGGCTGATAATGACCCCCAAAGAGATCAGGTGCTAATCCTTGGAACCTGTAAATGTTACTTTACTTGGAAAAATCGTCTCTATAGATATGATTAACTTAAGGAGCTTGAGATGGGGAGATTATCTTAGATTATCTGGGTAGGTCCTAAATGCCACCAGGAGTGTCCTTGTAAGAGAGGGGCACAGGGGGATTTGACACACACACACACACACACACACACAGAGGAGAAGGGGAGGTGAAGACAGAGCAGACAGATTTGAAGATGTTGACCGTGAAGACTGGAGTGATGTGGCCACAGCCACGGCCACAGTAGCCACCAGAAGCTCAAAGAAGCAAGGAGTGCATTCTTCCCTAGAGCCTCTAGAAGGAACATGGTCCTGCTGATACTTTGATTTCAGCACAGTAATACTGATTTTGGACTCTGGCCTCCAGAACTGTGAGATAATAAATTTCTGTGGTTTTAAGCCACCAAATTCATGTTACTTTGTACAGCAGCCGCTGTATAAGAATATGCTAACAGAATGGGCTAAGGCTATGCTGAAAAACTTGCCATTATGTAATTATACGTTCACTTTGGGATGATAATTTATTAAGATACCAGTTTTGTTCACTTCCTCTATACTATTATCTTCCCTCCTTTTAAGTAGATAACACATTTGTTTTGAATTCCTTGCCCTGGAGATTTTTTCAGGGTTGCTTATTTCAGGAAAACTGCCTATAGTTAAAGGCAGAACCTATATTGTGTAGAAGCCCAAGCTTATTGCAGCAATTATGCTAGATATTGTGGGTGACATGAGAAGAGACAGGTGGGTATGCAGAGTGTACCACAAACAGCAAGAGAGAAGAGTCCCAAAGACCAGAAAGAAGTTAAAGATCAGTCCTGCCATTACTGGGGACCCATCCCACTTTCTTATAGTACAAATAATGACCATGACTGGTTTGCTGTTCAGTGGGATGAGGGCTTGGAGTCAGATATAAATAGAAAGAGAGAGAGAAGTAGTATTTTATAAACATATGGCTTTGTGAACTAAGATGCATACCTTCCTTAAGTATTCACTGCTCCCTTCCACACCATGCTGCAATCACCATGAGGACAGGCTCCTAATCCGTTTACCACTATATCCTCAGAACCTAACATTGTCTATGACCCATAGCAGGTACTCAGTAAATACTGTTGTTTTGTTTTGTTTTGCATAAAGAGAACTAGCTAACAGTTCACTGAGGATCAAAAAATTCAAAGATGCTCATAAGGCCACAGTGACCCACACTGTTGGGGTCTCCAAGGGGATCCCTACTTATAACACTCCTCCCTCTTCCCCACCCAGGTTCTGAGCAAAATAATATAAAGAGCAAAGATGAAAGCCAAAATATCACCTTTACTGCTGACAGCAGCCATGTTGGAGCACATGGGTTTAGGTTCAAAACGACTTGTTAACTGAAACCCAGAAATGGGCAGACTGTCCCATGCAGGCCCCAGTGGTGCTGGGCCAGGGTGGGGCTCCCCTCAGGGAGGGAGGAGCAGAGGATTTATGTTTCCCATGGGCCATCTTGCTTCCTAGGGGAAGAAGGACAGAGCTGAGTGTGCCCAGTTATTCTCCCCAATTTTATGAGGGGGTACACTCAGGGGCCAGGATGGTTGGGTTCCTGTCACCTTGTGTCTCACTTTAGCAAACATGTATAATTTAATAAAAGCTCTGCATGGCCCCTTCCACACACCATGGGCCTGGGTCCTCTGTAAGCGGTCTGGGGGCTGTGGATCGGTTGCTCTCTCCTTCACCCACATTGCTGAGGGCTCACCAGTGACATTATTTAAATTCACAAGTCGAATTTGTATCCAAAAACTATTTTTTTTAAAGATTTTATTTATTTATTTGAGAGAGAGACCAAGTAGGGGGGAGGGGCAGACAGAGAGGGAGATGCGGGCTCCCCACTGAGCAGGGAGCCCTACATGGGGCTCGATCCCAGGCCCTTGGGATCACAACCCAAGCTGAAGTCAGATGCTTAACTGACTGAGCCATCCAGGTGCCCCCCAAATCTATTTTTGTATAGTATACTTATCATTACATTAACATTTCAGATTAAATATTATGTGAACTGGGAATACAAGGGTGTGATACAAAAGAAGGAAGTTTCTATGAAAATGAAGCTTAGTGCTTTGCAAAGGGTCAATGAAGGTGGCGTTACTGGTATAGTTTATGCAAAAACAATGACTGGGAACTTCAAGCAGACACATACTCCAAAACGGCTTGACATTAAAAGATGAGCAAGTGAATATACAGTTATGTTTTAGGATAAAATAAAATGTTTCAAGTACTTAAGTATCATCTTTTCTGATTCCCTGTGTTAATCTTTTTGTTTTGTTTTGTTTTCCAACCAACTACTGGTCCCAATCATGTTGAGTAAAAGACTTCTGACATAGATAATTCAAAGAGTCATTATGGGCCAATTACCCAGGTTTTCTGCAGTTTTCCTCCTCCCAAACAGCTGTGCTAGAGTCAGGTACCCGTGTCGGCTCTATTGCTGGATAATTCACAGCCATTTATGAAATAAACACTACTCACAGTAGGACCCAAGGCTCCTTTCCTTTCTCCTTGGGCACTTAAGTTATTTTGCTTCTCAAAATTATTCAAAAGGAGCTTTGAGAAGGTTAGTCCTCACATGTTTCATCAGGTGACAGAACCAACAAAGGGTTAAGAACAATACTTACAGTCCCAGGTCGACTTGGGTAGAATGCTTTTTTAAAAGTTTGGCTGGTTCCTTTTTTCTTTTCCTGACGCCCTGACAATAAGCCCATGTGTCCTCCAGTTTCCTGTCGGGATCCAACACTTCCAGCACCTTTAATAAGAGCTACAAACAGAAAACAGCCTTGGAGGGAAGAAAAACGTGCCGAGGAAGAAAGCCCCTTGATTCTAAAACAGAACAGACCAACATGCCCCTTTGCTTTGCTTTTCCAGCGGTTATGCCATTCCTCGGTTTCTGCGCAAGTCCTGTGCCGGGCGCTGTGGGAAGTGTCCCCCACCTAGACATTAGGGATGCGGCTGTTGTACTGAGGTTGGGTCTCTAGACAGAATAGTGCCCCTGGGCCTACCCTAGTCCCTCACTGCCCCATTGAGCCAAGTGCCTCTAGAGGGTTTCTATAGTTTTTGACTGCCCAGCATCCATTCTTCCTCCCATACATAACAGTGTCTAGATTTTTCTTTGGGACCCCATCCTTGCTCCACAGGCAGGTCAGGACAATCCAGTCCAATGCAACCAGTGACTGGTTTAGGAACAGGCACATAACCCAAGTTTTACCCATGAGAACTAGGCTATGGGATTTTGCTGGAAGCATGCAAAAAGAGGTGTTCTTTTTCTTGGCAGAATTTAAATCTAGAGCAGCCTGCTGTGGCCATCATATTACCATAAGAAGAGATCCTGCCTCAGAAAGAAGCCAACACACCTCTCTTGGGGAGGTGAGACATGGAAATAAGGGCCACCATCCCAAGTGCCATCTGAGGGTATGTGGAGATAATCTGCTTGTCATGGGCTCAGAAGCTCTGGCCTGCAGGAGGCAGTGGAGGAAAGCCCCAAGTGGAAAATAAATGATTAGAAATTCTAGTTGTCTTGGGCGCCTGGGTGGCTCAGTTGGTTAAGCGACTGCCTTCGGCTCAGGTCATGATCCTGGAGTCCCGGGCTCGAGTCCCACATCGGGCTCCCTGCTCAGCGGGGAGTCTGCTTCTCCCTCTGACCCTCTTCCCTCTCGTGCTCTCTATCTCTCGTTCTCTCTCACTCAAATAAATAAATAAAATCTTAAAAAAAAAAAAGAAATTCTAGTTGTCTTTTCTGCCACTAATCATTTATTCATTCATTCGTTATGCACAAATATTTATTGAGTGTCTACCATATGCCAGGTATTAGTGGTACACAGTGAAAGAGGCAGATAAAGTCCCTGCCCTTCTAGAGATTTTATTCCAGCAAGGAGCCCAGTGGTGACAAGAGCTACGATGAAAAATAGATCAGGGTGAGGGTTAGAGGAGCAGGTGGAAGGGCAGTGTTATTTTATGAGACATTTGAGCAAGGATCTGAAGGTGTGAAGGAGTGAGCCAGACATACACACAGGGGCAGGTGTCCCGGGCACGGAAGAGAAATCTGAATTGGACATGTTTGCTCATGTCCACAGAGCAGCAGGAGGCCAGCGCGGCCGGCGCCGGGTGAGAGCAGAGGAGTAGGTGGTGAGGCTGCAGCGGGAGCAGAGCAGGGGTGGGGCAGAGGGCAGACGGCACAGGGCCTTTCTGACCAGGGCGGAGACCTTACTCTAAGAAAGGGCCCTGGAAGGGCTTTGCAGAGAAGTCAGCCGTGCTGACTGACCTAGGGGACAGACTACGTTGGGGGGAGTGGGTAGCAGGTACTGTTAGGTCCCTGCCCAATATCCATTCCGCCTTTTTCCTCAAATCTAACAGAATTGTATTCTAGATTTTGTTCTCTGTCACAACGCCCAACCAAGAAACTCAATTTTCTAGACTCCCACACAGTCTGCTGGCACGGACCCTTTAACTTTTGTTCCCACTACCCACCCACCCCTTGTTTGAAAGACCCAGTGCGGAGCTGTGGAAGCCATTCTGAGATTCAAGCGCAAGAAAGAGCCAGACGCTAAGGGTTATGGCGCTCAGAGTCAAAAGCAGCCCGGGACACTGGAGCTGCCCTCCAAACCCAGCCTGACGATGCGATGACTTTCCCCCCACGACCTTTCAGGTCCCCCCAGGCCGCCTACCCAGCCGTTAGTTAAGTACGATGGACCCCGGCTGACACCAGGCTATAGTAACAGAAGCAAGACTGGACAATTCCCCCTTGGTTTCTGCCCTCCAAAAGTCCCAAGCAAAGGAGACTGGTAGACCTTCAGGGGAAAAGAAGTCGAATGTTTCTGGTTTACTGGACCTTTATGAGTTGTGTGGCTTCATAGCAAACAAAAGGAGTGGCGAGTACGTTGCTGCCAATGTCCTTCCCGGGCACAGAGAAAGGAAGTCTGCGCCAGCCCCCATGAGCACGCTCACCCTGGGAGGCGTTCCTCATCCCCCCAACCATGCAAGCATGTCACCCCCTCAAAGGAGCTCCCACACATCCAAGGAGAATTCTTTTCAAGGCCCTCCCACAACCCTAGGTCAGGAGGTCACCTCGACAGGCATGTCTTCCCCCAGATTAGGGTAGAGAGCCAAAGGGTGCGGGGTCAGCTGGGCTTCAACATCTGCCAGGAATGCCTTCCGCGCTCGCGTCGCTGGTGACAGCTTGGGAAACAGGGCTGCTTCCTTGGGCCGCCTGTGTTGCCTCTTCTTTGGGGCAGGTTGGGGAGCTGTGTGACGGATCTGCGGGAGAAAGGCCTCCTGAGGACCCCGAATGAGCAGACCCTCACAAGACGGGCAGCCCCTCCTGAAGTCATCCAGTCCCTTCTTCACAAACGTCCACCGCAGGCTGTTCAGGGAGGTGGGACACGTCAGCTTGTGCCTGTGCTTTGTGAAACACTTGGAAGGTAGACTCTCCTTGTACCTGGAAGACAACATGCCTGGTTGTATGGAGCACAGGGACTGGGGCGGGAGACAGAGGTTGTAAGGAGGCTGGCCTCCACCTTTCTTGAGGAGGTGAGGTAAGAGAGGAGGGGTTCCGAGGAGAGAGTTGAGCTAATAAGACTCCTAATTCACCGCACATCATCTCTGGCCTATGCAAGGCCCTTCTCCTGTTTCCTTAGGCTGTTACCCCGTATCCCATTCTAATTGCCCCCCCTGCACAGGCAAAACCCCTCTCACAGATTTAAAATGTACCCTTTTGCTTGTATACTCCTCGTAATATCTGTATCATTCTTTTACGTGCATGTATTCTTAACTTACATAAATGGTAATGTTCCATTTCTTACTGATTTGCCAAGTACCATATTATAAAGGCCCATCCATGTCACTAGGTGTAAATCTAATTCATTATTACCACCTGGTTCATCTACCCATTCTCCTCTCTCACAAGTTGCAGCTCCTCCAGGGACCTTTTCTTATCCTTTAAAAGACCACAGTGCAGTGGGAAGAACCTGCATCCCAGGGACCACTCATGCCTAACTAGCCAAATGACCTTGGCACTTCATTTAACCTCTGTGGGCTTCAGTTAACCCCTTAACCTCAGGTCAAAGATTTCAAACTGGCAGTCCATGGGCTGCATGGGACCTACAAACCTGTCATTTGGTCCCTTTTCTGTTTGAATAAGAATTAGAACACCTAACATATATCAAGGACTTCTTATATAATAGGCATGTTCTAAATGCTTTACATGTATGAACTTATCTAAATCTCATAACAATCCAATGAAGTAGGTACCAAGTACTGGCATTATTCCCACTTATAGATAAGGAAACCGAGGCACAAAGAAGTTTGAGAACAAAACAAACACTTTTGAAAGATCCCACAGCTAAAAAGTGGTAGAGGTGGGATTTTAATCCAGGTAGTGTGACTCCAGAGAAAGGTGCTTAAGCACTACACTAGAGCTTCTGACATAGAAAAAAGTTCACATACATAATCTAGAACAAAAATCAGGCTCTCTGGGAACACTGGGTCCACCTTTTCACGGAGCCACCAATTGGTATAATGGTTGCCCTCTATAGACAAGTCCTATGCTCTCTTAGTCACGGTCTCCACCCCTCCCTACTGCTTTATTCTACCCAGGCTGCTTCACCCAGTTTCCTTACCCACCAGGCCCCTGTCTGCACTGAGTTGTTAGGATATAAATATGAGATGGAAGCAGTTGATGGAAGGAAAATAAGACCAGTTCCTAGATAATCTAACACATCCAGCCATTGCCTGAGTCAGGACTTAGAACCTGAGCAGCTGAAGGGCAGGTCACTCATTCTCTTAATACATCACTGCCTTAGTCAGATGTTTCTATATTATTGGTGTCTTTTCCTGAAGCCTCTTCCACCTCCAGGCCCCTTTCATCTGTAACGGCTCATTACACCAAATCTACTCCTTGCTGCACTCTTCTTTATAGGCACAAAGCGTTTTTAAGAGGTTCCAGTTTAATCCCTATTCTTTCCTTATGAGTCCTAGAAATGTCTTGCTTGCTATATGTGCATGCTGGGAGGGGGGCTTAAACCAGCTCTACTGTGAAGATCTAGATGAAAGGTACAAAAAGTTGCTCTTTGAAATGAACAAATCACTCTTAAATAGCTAAGTGGCAGGGTGTTGAAATTACATCTAACCTTAAGATTTGATGACCCATTCAGCATGACCTACTAGTAAGTAACCCTCTATAATATTAGAAATCTTTACAAAGTTTATTTTCTACACATTTACAACTAACTCAAACATCCAAGCACTTCATGAAATCAAATCTGATGACTGATATTTTTGCTTACGGACATTTATACCCCTCGAAATGGGGACGGTATGGCAGCTAGCTCAAGCCTCAGAATGTTAGAGCTGGCAGAACCTGAAGGAAATCTAGTCCACCTCCTCCCCTCCAAATGAAGAAACCAAGTTCTGAGAGATGAACAAGCAACCACTATAGCAGGAGGGCTTCCCACTACCCCACTTTGCCTCTCGTAGCTAATAAACTTACCTCTGCATTTTGTTAAGTTTATGAAAAATTTTGTTTGACCCAGAAAATAAAACTGAAAATATTTTTTTCTAAACATTTACTATTTTCACAGTCATTAGCATATGCTACATGGATGGATATCTCCATCTGTAAGAATTACAAAAGAGTATTGCCATTTATCCTAAAGAAATGAAAACTTATGTTTGTACAAAAACCTGTATAAAATGTTGGTAGCAACAGCAAAAACCAGAAACACCTGCATGTCCTTCAATAGGTAAAACGAATAAACAGTGGTACATCCATACCAGCAATAAAAATGAACAAACTACTGGGGCACCTGGGTGGCGCAGTTAAGTGTCTGCCTTCAGCTCAGGTCATGATCTCAAGGTCCTGGGACTGAGCTCCACATCAGGCTCCCTGCTCAGTGGGGAGTGTGCTTTGCGACAGGAGCGTCGGGCGCTGGTTATTTTATATTTTCTACTATAATCATTTAGGTGCCGGGGCACTTGGGTGGCTCAGCCCTTCAGCGTCTGCCTTCGGCTCAGGTCATGATCTCAGGGTCCTGGAATTGAGCCCCGCATCCAGCTCCCTGCTCCGTGGGAGGCCTGCTTCTCCCTCTCCCAATCCCCCTGCTTGTGTTCCCTCTCTCGCTCTCTCTCTGTGTCAAATAAATAAATAAAATCTTAAAAAAATAATCATCATCATCATCATTTAGGTGCTGAGAGGTGGGGAGAAAAGGGAGGCGGGACCTCCAGCCGCGCCCTCCCCAGCCATCTCCCCCCCCCACCGCCGCCCAGCAAGCACCGGGTGCAGGCGCCCCCACGCGGCACCCACCCGATGCGCCTCCCTGGGCGCGCCGAGCTTACCGGGGCCCGCAGGTCCCGCCCGCCGGCAGCCGGGTGGGCGCCGCCGGCCCGCACAGCCGCCCGGCCTCGGCCATGGTCTCCCCGGCTCCGAGACGACAGCCGGGCCTTTGTGCTGTGTATTCCCGGCCGCCCGGGTCGCTAGGAGACCGCCGAGCTGTGCGCGGGCCAGATTCGCGCGGGCCGGCCCAGGCGCCCCCTTGCGCACCCCGCTTTCCCCCCGGAAACGCGCCGCCCTACCCCCACCGCACCCCGGTCTTCGCCGCCGCTAACAGCGGCGGGCAGTGGCGGGCCGAGGGAGAAGGAGCAGGTCCTTGGTTTAACTGTGTTGTAATCTGTCGGGAAGGCATCGTCTTCCCACGGAAACTTGCGGTAGGCTGGACCACGCCTGTTTTGCTCACCACCATTTCGAAAAGGGTTTGTTGAAGGAAAGGAAGAGCGGCTGGATTGATAGCAACAGAAGAAGAGTGAAAAGGGAGGGAAAGGGATAGACTGATTTTGGGTGGTAGGAAGGCCTTTTAGCATGGACTGTTTTTTGGAGGTCTTGGAAATCCCTAGGCCTCACCGCCTCCGTAAACTGAGGGCTGAGTACTAATACCTGGTCACCGGCTGATTTCCAGAGTCCCTTCCCGCTCTTGTGTTATTTGATTCTTTTGCCTGGACCCACTTCTAGCGGTGAAGTTCCCATCCACTTGGTCCCGATAGGCAGAAGCCCATGGAAGTATGGGTGGCACGAGGATGTGTGTTGGGTTTTGCTAAGTTCTCTTACTACTTCCGAGTGTTCCTGACTTAAATATTAAGTATTGCTTCCAGAGGAAAGGAGCAGCAAAGCATTCTCCTGTCCCCAAATGTTAAATTGTATTTAAATTGTTTCTTTAAAGTGGGATAATTTTCCTAGTCATTTAAAGATGAGTCTTCTCATCTTCAAAATCTCTGGGAATAAATTAGCTTCATCTTTGGGAATCTGTTAACTGTCTAGATACCATTCAAGTTGCTCTGACTGGTACTAGTGTTATGGGACAGAACCAGTTCCTAAGGCAGGTTTGGCTACCCGAGGCTGGAAAGTCAACAATCTAGAGACAAGTGGTGGTGGTAGGAAAGGAAAGGTTGCTTTATGCAAGAAGCCAGCAACTTGGGAAAGTGGTGGACTAATGTCTCAAAGACCATCTTCCCCATCCAGGTGAAGCTGGAGGATTTTTAAAGGGGAAGCTGTGGGAAAAGGGGGTGGGAGGGGAGCACTGTGTGCAGGAGAAGCGGGTGCCCAGGCAGTTAGTCATCTGCCGTCATGACCCTGAACAGACTTGTTGGCATCCATGGCTGCTGTTTTCTAATGTAATCAGGCCTTATCTTCTGGGAAAGTTTGGTCCTTCACTCCTCAAGGCCAGTGGTCTGCAAATCTCAAGGACAGTCAGTTAGTTCTGCTACAGATCAAGGGACTTGGGTCAGCAAGCAAGGAGTGCATAAGCTTGAAACAAGTTAACCCTTCAGGCTGGCTGGGGTGCTGATACACTGGTTCCAGCATCTTCATTTGCTATCTGTGTCCAGCTGCCTTTTCCATGCAGTGTAGAGCCCTGGGTCCCACCACCTGAGATGAATCCTGACTCAGCTACTTAATAATTAGGTACCCCTGGGCACAATTACTCAAACTGTTGTAGCTCATTGATTTGCTAGTCTGAAATGGAGGAAATAATAGTATCTCCTTATAAGGGTTACTGGCAGATCAAAGAGATAATGATGTAAAGCACTTAACAGTGCTGGCTATTAAGAATCCCCGCTAGTAAGAGCAGTAGTAGTATCTCAGTTGGGGGGTGGGGGGAGTAATATTTGCCCTGCCTGCTTCCCAGAGCTGTTGTAAGAGTCAGTTAATGGAGAAAGCGACAATTGTAATGATTATAAGGAGTCTGATCCATTGTTTTCATTATCTTTGGTAATATCTTTCATGTTCATTTGTTTGCAGATTCAAGCTCCTATTACTTTGAGGAAGTAGGATTTTTTCATAAGACTGAGGGGAAGGGTTTTTATCTCTTGCTCCTAGTACTGGGCCTGGAGTACAGTAGGTACTCATTCAACAAATATTGGCTGTTATGGTCATTCTCGTCACTAAGGATGCAATGAGGAATAAAACAGACTTGGTCCTTGTCAGCTTGAGTCTTGGTTTCTGGTGTTTGTTGCACGAATTAATAAGGATCCACCTGTTTCATGACTTTTGCATCCTCACAAGTTGATTATTTGCTCCATGTAGTAACTTTGACTCCATATCTAGTAAGAGACAAATAACTTCTTTTTATTTCATCACATTCTAAACCCAAATTATAGTCATTACTCAGGGAATCTCTCATTCATTCTCTCTCTTGTCCGTCTCTTTTGCAACACAAAGGTAAAATGTGTTACATATATGAGTAGATGTTATTTAAGAATGAGGCTAATGAGGTTCTGGGGGTCTTTTCTAGCTTTACTACCAGGTAGTGTAACCATTTTATTTCCCAATAGGATTACTCAAACACCCATAACAGGGTTGCCAAACACTATTACTGCATCTTTCCCGCTCAAGGACTGATTACTGTTTCTGTAGCATTCTACTCCATACGCAGCAATACTTAGTTCATGGTCCTTTCCAGAAAAAAAAAAAAGGGCATTTGAACAACAAACACAACAGAACTTTAAGCTGAGAAATTATAAAGTGGTCCTGGACTGGTAGAAACCTTTGGTGTCTTTACAAAATATTACCAGTCATCCCTGCAGGACTACAAGGAGTCTAGACCACTGTACCCCCAGCCAGTTCTTACAGCATTTCCTACAGATAAATTTACAGTGGACATGAGCTCACCAACAAAAATAAAACCCACGAAGAAAAAAGGCACAATGACTAAGAGACAGCAGAAACAACAAAGAACAGAATCTGATCACAGAGACTTTATGTATTGGGATGTTCAGATACAGAATATACATAAATAAGATTAGTTTTGTATAAATATATATGTTTACGTACATAAAATTAGCATGTTTCATGAGTTTTGGAAGTAATAGAGGGATTTGGAAATCTGAGCGAAGTACAAGAAACTTTTTAAAAGATAGATTTGAAAAAGAACCAAACAACTTACAGAAATGAAAACTATAATCATTTCCATTGGCCTCGAGAGGTTAGGGTCCAATGGACGGGTGGGTCCCTGAGATCCAGCAGGCTGGTAGGTTTGAGGGGATGCCTGAGGCATCTGTTAGTAGGCTAGACTCATTCAAAGGAAGTTGGGAGAGATCTCAGCTGCTACTTTTTGGAGAATGGTGGGCCGTGAAGAGTGGATTAGATGTAGAGATGTGCTGGTGGTAGGAGTGGAACCAGTGCTGTTACTATGGAGAGCAATCGAAAGAACTGAGTCAAACCAAGTAAACGGCATGTTTACAACAGTCTGCGCTCTCATTTGCCCCGGCCTGTCCCTCCTGGCTGCATTTGTGGGTGGGGTCAAATAGCAGAAGGCACTGAAAGGAGATCCGAGGGGGGTGGGGGTGGGATCAGGGTATTTTCTCTCTCCCTTTGTCCCCTAGGGTGTATATATATTTCTGCCTTCACTTTCAGCTCCCACCAGGCAGCCCCGATGTGATTCCAACTCCCATCAGACTCAGGCTCCCGTTATAAGTAATTCCTGTGGTTTGGATGTGGTAGGGGCTTTCCTGCTACTGATCTCTTGGTTACCTCATATCCTCTGTTTGGCTCTCAGCTCTTCCATCACCTCTGGAACCTGTTCTTGCATTTAAATCCCTCAGTTTTAATTCACTTAGCGTGGCTGCTGCTTTCCTGGTTGGACCCTGATACATATGCTCCTTATGACCCAGCATTTCCCCTGCAGGGATAGGAATCCAGAGGAATTCTCGCCCATAGGGAACATATGTATGAGGATATTTGTCACAGCATTATTAGTAGTATCGGTGAGTTGAGGGTGATGTGTGTGTCCATTTCTGTGATGCAGAGGGATAAAATGGATAACTAGGCATCGGTTAGAAGGAACAGTCTAGACATATATTCAGCAACATGGTTAGACTTTTGAAAATGTAGTGCTGGGTGAAGAAAGAAACAGTGAGATTTTTTTACTACAATATGATTTATATAAATTAAAAATGCATGCACACAAAACAAAAATATATGTTTTACAAGAACTCCCACAGAGAAAAGGATATACTTCAAACACTTAGGAATGGTTGCTTATGGAGAAGGCAGAGGAATAGAAGTGGAGAATGGAGAAGAAAAGGAATGTATGAATGAATGAATAAGAGAGGGCCTTGCACACCCAACTGAGAATGGAGCATCATGGATTGAAGAGTAAGATTAACCAAGGGGATACACCTGAAGTTGAAAAAAAAGGTTGCCAGAGAAATAGTTACAAGGTGGCACCGAGACGTAATTTCAAAGAACACATTGGGGATTATGAAAGTTTGAAACAATACCTGCTCCAAAGCCAAGTTAGTTTGCAGTTAAAGAGCAAACACACGGGACAGATGGTGAAGCAAGGAGCCAGGGCTAGTGACAAGTCCTGTATAATGCAGGGGTGTTGTTGAAATTCCATGGCAATGTTATGTATGCCCGGCCTGAAGAGGATTCTAGGTCTTCTGATTTTCTTGTCATTTGCATTCAGACCTGAGCAGAGATTATGATTTGGAGTCTCACAACTGAATAGAAATGTTCCAAAAAAAATCCTGCTTCATAGCTTTTTAGGGTCAACTACAGCCTAAAGCCTGGGCTGTTTCTCAAGTGGGGCTCAGATTATGATCACTATATGCATTAAAAAATTGGAAACAAGGAGCATTTGGAGTGTGTTAGGGGGACTTGAATTCTCGTCCAGTATAGTTTAATTAAAATATGACAATAATAGAAAAGAAATATTTAACCATGACCTTAGGATTTACTTTCCTTTGCTTGTATTTTTAGAGTTGGTATGCCTTTCTTGGTTCAAAAGCATTCAAGTTCTGGAAGATTCTTTGTGTAAAAGGTTGTAGGAGTACTTGAAAAATGACCATATGTAGAGCCCCCAATATAATCAATATCAGTTAAAAACAATATTATATCTGTTTTTCATTAAGCTTCAAG